ATATCTACATTGTACAGAAGATCCACACTACTAACTGCATTAAACTATAAGCAGTGGAATACTTCATTCTTCTCACATGCTTGGGCATGTTTGGGAGACTGCATTAATTCAGAGACAAGCTCCATGGACTAACTAAGCTCCTAACCATTTAATGGTGGGAGAAGATGGGAATTATTAACAAAACCCCCAGACTTTAAGGTCAAGCTGGATCTACACTACACACACATACAAAGAAGCAGCTGTTACACCAACACTTTTTGTAGCTACATCTTCTCATCATAGTCTCACTGCACGCACACATGAAGATGTTATCATGGGACCTGTTCTACCCACCTGTTCTCCAATTTTGTAGAAGAAAAAAGAAACAGAAGTAAAAATTGACATTTTTTGCTTCTTTGAGATAAAGGCAGCAATGTAGGGAGTTTCCTTGTGGTACTTCCATGAACGTATGTATTATAACCCCAATTAGTTTATCTACTCTATTTTTCTTCATTCTACCTTAGTCCCTCTCTTATGGTGGGTTCAGTTGGTTTAAGAATTCTATATTCATTCTTGTATAGAGTATATCAACCATATTCATCTTCTCAGTTTCCTTCTTTTACCTCACCTGCCTCGTACGTGACCTCCCCTTAGAATGGCCAGTTTTTCACAATATTGCTGTATTTGTATTAGGTCTATATTCCACATACGAAAACATGTCACTTTTTGTTTCCTAAGCCTAGCTAACTTCACTTAAGATGATGTAATCCAATTCCATTCATTTACCTGCGAATGACAAAATTTCATTCTTCTTTGTGGCTGTGTAAAATTCCATTGTATTTAATTACCATATTTTCTTAATACACTCATCAACAGTGGAACATTTTGGCTGTTTCCATAGGTTAGCTACTGTGAATAGTACATGGGTGTGCAGGTGTCTTTGTTGTAACCTTATTTACCTTCCTTTGCCCATTTCTTCACTGGGTCATTGATTTTGGGGGTTTAGTTTTTTGAGCTCCCTGCATAATTTGGTTATCAGTCCCTTGTCTGATGTATAGCTAGCAGTGATTTTCTCCCATTCTGTGGGTGGCCTCTTCAATTTAGAAACCATTTCTTTAGTTGAGCAGAAGCTTTTTAATTTCATGGAGTCCCATTACGCAATCCTTTTCTTAGCTGCTGAGGCATTTGAGTTCCACTGCGGAAGTCATGGCCTCTATGCCTATTGCTTCCAGTGTATTACCTGCTTTGTTGTCCACTAGCTTCAAAGTTTCAGGTCTTATATTAAGGTCTTTAATCCACTTTGAGTTGATACTTGTAGAGGGTGGCAGACATGGATCTAATTTCAGTTTTCTGCAGGCAAATACCCAGTTTTCCCATCAACATTTGAAGAGGTATCTTTCCTCCATCATATGTTTTTGACACATTTATTAAAAATTAGGTGGGTGTAGCTGCATGGACTCATATCTGGGACCTCTATTCTGTTCCACTGGTCTTCATATCTGTTTTTGTGCTGGTACCATGCTTTTTTTATTGCTATGGCTCTATAGTACAGTTTGAAGTTGGGTATTGGGATACCTCCAGCTTTGTTCTTTTTGTGCAGTATTGCCTTGGCTATTCACGGTCTTTTGTGCTTCCAAATGAACTTTAAGGTTGATTTTTCAATCTCTGTGATGAATGGCATTAGAATTTTGATGGGAATTGCACTGAACATTTAGATTGCATTTGGTAATATAGCCTTTTTCACTACATTGATTGTACCAATCCATAAGCATGGATTTTTCCATCTTCTCTACTCTTCTTCAATTTCCTTCTTCAATGGTTTATACTTTTCCTTGTAGAGGTCTTTCACATCCCTTGTTCTGTTATTCCTAGGTATTTAATTTTTTTAAGGCTCTTGCAGATGAAATTGTTTCCCTTTTTTCTTTCTCAATCTGTTCATTGTTGCTGTATAGAAAGGCTACTGATTTTTGCAAATTGATTTTGTATCCTGTTACTTTGTTAAAGCTGTTTATGGTGTCTAGGAGTTTTTACGTGGAGTTTTTTTGGTATTTAATAAATCCAGTTTTAAAGTAACAGTAAACACTCTAAAAGATAAAAAGTTTTATATTGAAAAAATTATTAAATTTTTAACTGATACCTAATAGCATTTAAAATAGTATATTAATAGGCTGAAATGAATAAAACCCCAGACTCTACAATTCTTGACAAAGTATAGAACTGAAACCAACCTAAATGAACCACTTGGGGTATCCTAAGTCACCAAGAGCCAATGCCTTAGCTTCCTTAGCACCTCCCAAAGCTACCCACAGACAGGCATTTTGTTTAAACTAACTGGTTACTGAGCAATAAATAACAAAGAATTATTAGTTATTAGTAAAGAGCTGTTTGTTTTCTTTTCTCAGTGGTACTGGGGATCAAATCTAGTGCTTTGCAAAATCCCAAGTTGTTCTTTTTTTTTCCTTTCTTTTGTTGGTACTGGGGTTTAATTCAGTGCCTCACGCCTGCAAGACAGGTGCTGTAGCACTTGAGCCATGCTCTAAGCCTTTCAGATTTTACTTGTTTTTCAGGTGGGGGGGGTCTCACATTTTCTGTCCAGATCAACCAAGACCATGATTTTATTGAAGCTTCCATGTAGCTGGAATGGCAGGTGCACACCACCATATCCATCTGATTAAGCTGATTGTTGAAATGAGATCTTGCTGACTTTTGCCCTGGCTGACCTTCAACCCCAACCCAACCCCACCTCCCCCTCCACACCACATACACACAGACTCACACACTCCCTCCTCACAACCATTTTCACTTTCAGAGTAGCTTTAGCTGGGATTACAGTCATGAGTCTTCATGCCCAGCAACCCAAGTTCTTTTGAACAACATTCTCCACACATCACCTTTCATAATCAGATTTATGTCTCCTTAAATCAATTAAAAAAGATTAATTAATCGCAATAAAAATTAATGTCAACAGGTTTTTTTTTTAAGTTAAAAAATAGTTCCCAAATTCTTTGGCAAAGGTAACAGATAAAATTAAACATTTTGTAAGACAGAGAAATAAGTGGATATCTCCTTATCTAGATGAATGCAAAAAAAAAACACCATAAAATGAAGATGGATTCAAGCTTCATATTGACAAATGGAAAATAAGTGCTATTTGCATACTAGCAAATGAAGTGTCCTCTCACATTAGTACAAAAATTACAATGGGGAAGACATTTTAAAATTAAAATCTGAGTAAGAACAAAAACAAACTGCAAAATATTAGCAACAGGGATCACAGAAAAGGTTGTGATTTAGGAGGAACTCTTAAAAAGTAGAAAGAAAAAACCAAGTCTCCAATAATTAAATGCACACAGACCATAAAGAGAAAATTCACAAATAAAGAAGTCAAATTAGCTAATAAATATAGGGAAAGCATTATCTCAGAAGTAAATAATTATAAAATAAAGTTTACATATCTTTCACTTGTAATAAAACACTCAAAAAGTAGCAAAAGTACACCTGTTTGAAAAGCAGATGTAATCATTTCTTAAGGACAATGACAAAAGATCTAGGTACTCTTACTCTTCCCTGCAACTTGGAATGCCCACCAAAAGGGTTTTTTATGCAGAGAACTAGGGTAAAAGAGAAAGGGTAGTGCTTTATGGAATCTTATTTGAATTCGTGTCAGTGTTAAAATATATAGTATAGACTGAGGAAGACATCAGAAAATAACACTATTCACCAACCGCATCATCACTACAAACAATATAGGATGGTTTATTTAAGTATCAGGTATGATAGTAAAATCACATTAAATCTTTACTTAAAATATTCATATTCCATTCCTAAAAGCAGAATTTCTTTTACAATTATGTAGCAATTTTCATCTGACCCTAAGACTACTACCATTTTTTAAATTTTCACTCACCTCTTAGTTCTGCCATCATGAGTTTCCAAGAAATGCCTCTGGGCCTCATGTTTAAAATGATGATCAGCAGCTAACGCAATATCAACAGTAATAAGTCCTAAATTGGCTGAACCAGCTTCAAGCCAACAGGCCCTCCTTAGCACTGCAGGCTGAAGTCCAAGTTTGCAATTATTTAATTGTTCAATGTACTGCCTCACTTGAAAATCCTGAATTGCAGCACTTATTCCTTCTCCAACGGATTGATTGTGGAGATTACAGTTTGCAATCCGGATTGCACCCATCTAAAGTTGAATGAAGAAAATCAAACAAAACTGTAATTTTAGAATTTTTAAATATCATGACATAAACTATAGTACAGGTAATTATTTCAAAGAGTGAAAGACAAGTGGAAGAACAACAAAAAGGAAAGAACAACAGGCAGGAAATATACATGCATAAAACCTAAAGACAAGAGCCAGGTGTGGTAACACATGACTGCAAACCCAGATACTCAGTAGGCCAAAATACAAGGATCTTGGTTGGAGTCCAGCCCTGTTAAAAGTTAGCAAGATTGTATCTCAAAAACATGCAGCCATGCATGTTTCCCAGCTACTCTGAAGGTGGAGGTATGAAGTTAGTGGTCTGAGGAAGGCCCCAGACAAAAGCTCAAGGCTCTATATGAAAAATAAACTAAAAGCAAAATGACGATGAGCAGGGCTCAAGTGGTAGAGCACCCAAGCAAGCAAGCTAGGAGGCCCTAAATTGCTTGGGTAGAGTACCCAAGCAAGCAAGCTAGGAGCAGGGCTCAAGTGGTAGAGCACCCAAGCAAGCAAGCTAGGAGGCGCTAAATTCCTAGTCCTGCCAAAAAAGGAAGAAAAAAAAAATACCTGAAGATATTCAAACTAAAATATTTTTAAAATACTACCTGTTTGTAAGACTGACATAAAGGCAAACTGCTACTTTATGTTTCTGTCATAAAACACTGTTACAATAGATCTGCCATATGATCCAGCAATCATATCTTTCAGGTATATCTTTGGGGATATACCCGAAAGAATGTGACACAGGTTACTCCAAAGGCACCTGAACACCCATGTTTACTGCAGCACTATTCACAATAGCCAAGTTATGGAAATAGTCACTATGTCCCACTACCAATGAATGGATTAAGAAAATGTGGTATTTATACACAATGGAATTTTACTAAGCCACAAAGAAGAATTGTCATTCGCAAGAAGATGGATGGAACTGGAGAACTTCATTTTAAGTGAAGTTAGCCAGGCTCAGAAGGCCAAAAATCATATGTTCTCCCTCATATGTGATTACAGATCTAAAAGAAATGCAGTAATATCATTGGACATGAGCCACACACTAAGGGGAGAATGCAATGCATACAGGAGGAATAGGGAAAGGGAAGGAAACCTAAAACTTAAAAGTGTTTGATGTGCCCACTGTAGAGGAGTGAATAAAGTAATCTCAAACTGACAGAGGTCACTATGGGAAGGTGACTGGCAAGTAGTGAAAAGGTCTGGTAGAGAGGAACCAATTCGGGTTGTAATACACATATGCATGGAAGCAATGCTAAGAATATCTCTGTGTAGCTATCTTTATCTCAAGGTAGCAAAAATGCTATGTCTTTCTTATAATCTCTCATGTTTTCTCTTCAACAAAATTGGAAAAGAGGGCAGAATAGGTTCTACCTGGAAGCGAGGAGGGTGGGGGAAGGGGGGAGAGATGGCCCAAACAATGTATACGCATATGAATAAATGTATAAACAATTTTTTAAAGTTCCTGGCACATAATATAGGTTTAACTGAAAAAAAAAAACTGTTACAATAATTCAATTAGAGTTAAAAAAGAGGTAGAAGTACTTAAAAAAGCAAAACTGGAAAAGAACGTGAGTGAGTAAAAAACAGGAAATTATCTTCAAATATTTTGTGGCAATCTATGAGAAGAGAAACTACAAATATAGTATACTACATTTCAAGATATGGAAGGTTGGTTTAGTAACAGGAAAAAGCATTACATTGGCCAAGAAAAAGACAAATGTTTACCTTCATATTTGTAGCACAACCATGCTCCACAATATAAATATCAGCTCCATCTACAGCTAAACGAGTCATAGTATATTTTAAATCATCTGAAGTTGGACATGGCCCAGGAATACAACTCAACTAAAATAAAAAATGATACTACAATTAATTTACCACCATCAGCTCATTATTTAATCTCCTTATTTAAATAAACAATATTCTGTTTCCATATGTATCTTTTAAAAAATAACTCAGTTATATTTCATTATTTTATAATGATAAATGAAACCATCAGCAAACAAGCGTTACCAATTAGAAAAATAGTCATAGTAATGGTGTACCACTTCTATTCAAAAGGATAAATAGCAAATCTAATTGACATAAAACATATGTAACTTATAATTGAATAAAAAACAAAAAGTCAAAAAAACGGATAAACAGTATAACAAGTTTAACAAGAACGGCACAAGAGTTTTATAAAATTCCCTTATGAAAACCACACAGACTTACTTGTTTTCAAACCCACCAATACATATATCACTATATTATGGTGATATCTAGGACAATACACACAGATTTAATTTTATTTACTTCTAAATTACGATTTATTAATATTTAGGTTGGATGAAAACATACATTTCACCGACTTTAGTAAACTCTTTTTTTTTTTTTGCAGTACTAGCATTTGAACTCAGGGCCTACACCTTGAGCCACTCTACCAACCCTTTTTTTGTGAAGAGTTTTTTTCAAGGTAGGGTCTCTCAAACTATTTGCCTGGGCTAGCTTCAAACCGTGATGTTTCTGATCTCTGCCTCCTGAGTAGCTAGGATTACAGGAGTAAGCCACTGGCACCCTGCTTCACTGAACTTCTTGAGGAAACGGCAGCCCTGAGTAAACCACTGGACCAATAGAATGTAAAGACTCACTGGTAGTTCAACCAGGACTAGACACAGGTGCCTTACAGTACAGTCAGTGCTCTACACGGATACATTTCCTCCAGGAAAAAAACAGGGCTAAACAAACTAATCTGAAGTGACAAAAAACAAACCAGTGGTTACATTAGATAAGAGCTGGTTAAAAGATACACAAAGGAATTTTCCAAGGTGATAGAAATATTCAGTATCTTTACTGGTGATGATGGTTACATTTATATAGCATTTATCAAAACTTATAATTGTACAGCTTAAAAAGGGAGAATTTACTGTACATACACTGTGCCTCAATAAACTTAATTATTAAAAACTTTAAAAGAAGAGTAACCTTTAATTTGTAATATTATAGCAAACAAATATAGTTTGTATAGTAAAAGACAAAAAAAGGAACGAAATATGTTAGGAGAGAAATAAAAAAAAACTAAGCTGTTAATAACTTGATGATTGCCTTAAAACTAGGGTTAGGGTAAGTTATTCTTTTTCTCTGAAGCAAGGTTTTTCTGAAACAATCATACTTCCAAAATCAGGGAGTAAATGCTCCCACCTCCAAATTCATAGGGAGAGAATTTATTAATAATGGTATGCATTTCACTTTCAGTATACAAGGTTTTTAGGAATTACTGCCTACTTTTTATAATCCTTGTGAAGGTACTATAATGATCCTAAGTGAAGGAAGCTCAGTATTATGAAAAGAATGAGATTTGAACTCAGGAAATCTGGCAAATGCCCAATATTTTGAATTCCATCACAAAGAAAACAGACAAGTTCCAGAATGGTCTGCACCTCATGTCAAGAATTTAGCCTTCCTCTTTCCTTAATTTCTAAATCTTCTCCATATACAGCCATACTGCAATATGGATTAATATAATAATGCATTAAGACATGAATTTTAACAGTAAAAGAGATAAGATAAAATTTTTATATTAACTCTGTTGGTGAATGGGTGTATTTTAATAATTACTTCATATTTTAGATACAACTCAACTAAAAATTTACAAAATAATCAACTGAAAAATACTGAACAGTACTATTTATTTCATAATATTTCAGTCTTTCATCTTTAAAAGCCATAAATGTTTATCGTATTGTTAATGTATGTTAACGTACCTTTGATTCACAAAACCGACGATCGATTCCATGCTGACATACTATTACTGATTTTGGTCTTTCCAGTTCATACTCCCGACATACTACATGAAAAACAAATGTTTGCCCCCACTCCAGGAGACATGACAGCTACAGATAATCAATAAGAGGTTGACAACACTGTTAGCATCCTCAACAAGTGTTACCATTCAGACAATGAACAATATTAACACAACTTGAAAGAACTCAAAATTCTGTCTTATACCTGCTGTTCAATAATCTGTTTGTTAGCCAATGACATCATTTATAAGGCTGGGTTACTGTTCATTTGTGAATGACAAAATGAATTGCCAAAATGAAAACTCATTTCAACTGAAAAATTCTACTTCAACAGCTTCTACAGCAAATATTATTTTTCAAAGTAATATTCACCTTCTTATACAGCTAACTGGAATCCAATGCACACAAAGGCACCTAAAGTCCTCAATCTAATAATAAAACCTCAATTTAAAATTTTGGGATATCTATCTTCAAATTCTGGAAAAGTAGTTATTTTGAAGATTAAATTACTTGTATTTATGTAAATAGAATTGTAAGTAAGCATATGTCAATTTTTCAAATCTTGAGTTTAAATTAATACACACATTGGCTTTATAAGTGAATTGTTAACAATAAACATATTGAGGGATGCGTATACAACACCGTCCTCCCAAAGCAGCACATAATTTCTACTATTAGATAATATGAATTTCACTTTTAAAACATACAAAAAAAAGAACAAACACAAAGTATCCACAGATGCATAAAGCACACAGGAAAGAGTAATGCCAACCATCTTGTGCAGAAAGAAAATGTCATGTTAGAATAAGGACAATTTATAAACATACAAGATTCTAGCAGTTCTTAGGATAAATGATTTTTTGCCCAGTCTTATAGGATCAGCATGCCTTCATGCTCTTGCCTAGAGAATATGCTGCTTTATGCTAAACCTCCATTTTTAGTTGTATATTTAAGGACAAGAAATAGAGGGGAGTAAGGAGAAGACAGTTACAAGACTAGTGCATATTGAATATTTCTTTTCAGACATTTTTATATACATCACTATACATTCTAATATTACATTCAGGTATCATTTGACTCTTAAGATATTCCTTTCCAACTCTAGTCATAATACTATTTTTTGCTACCATCTTACAATTTCTTTACACTATATAGAGTGCCCAGATACTTTAACATTCTTGCTACAACTACCTAAGCACTTTCTTGTCTATTGATATGCCAAGGTAGGGATTTGTATTAGCACAAATGTATGACTCAACAGATGAAATGTTACAATAATAAGGCCATTCAACTAAATTTCTAGAATTAAATTCTAGAAATTAAAAAATGTTCATGGCATCTGAAACTTCTAACAGAACGTATCCAAAAGGATACCTAGCACTCTAGACCATCTTCGCTTACCAGTAAATTTATTTTTTAAAACTAGTATGCATTATCACTAATAATAGGCATAAATTATATTATCTTGCTTTGGGACATGATAAGTACTGTGCTGTCTAATCCTTACCATGGAAAGGATTACTTTCAAATTCTACTTAGAAATATACAAGAAAACAAATTCCTTAGAGAATTATTCCACATACTACAAAAAAAAAAAAATTGTTCCAATAGTGGAGGAACTAACTAGTATAATATATTTACTTGATTTCTAGATCTGTTCTCATCTTGAGTTTTCCCAAACAAAGTCTCAAATTCTCATATTATATGGAACTACATAACATTACACTACATAAAACTTGTGACTCAACTATTGCTAAGAAAATGTGGAATGGCAAGAATGCCTTTCATCAGAAAGACATTGGTGGAATGCAGTAAACATTCAACCTGGTACACAAGTTATACTAAAGAAGGTGGGTAAGGAAAGGAAAAGGAAAATACATTAGCATACAGACTATGAGAATCTTACCTGTGGTGCAGTGACCTTAGCTGTAAGGCTTCCAGCCTGCACATCAATCAGCCATGCATATTCTAAAGAATCACTTCCTAAAGGAAGACCTTCTGTTGAGAACATAGCATGTGCTCTCAGCTGGAGACCTGACAAATTGATGTGACCTTCCCTGAGCACATCATCCACAGGGGGTCGCTGCTGAAAACAAGAGTAAGACAGTTAAGAAACTTAAGAAAGTAACACTGCAGTTTCTGATTGCTTTATTCCCCCAAAGATGAACGATAAAATCACACTATCTAGAAAATAAGATTGCAGAATCCACAAGGTCTTAATGCAACCTTGCATTCATAAAAATCAAGTGAGTTAAACTTCTTTGGTGACAATATCTATGAGAGCCCACACACACAGAAAGACTGCTAGGTCCCAAAAAATATGCAGATTCTCATTGTTAACTGCCTCTAAGAATAAAAAGAAACTAAGAGTATTAGTATTAGTATTAGTCAGGGAATACAAAAGGTCAATCTTTGTAGGAAGGCTGGGAATCATGAAATTAAAATATCAAAAAGAAGACAATGGGGGAAGAACAAAGACCATCAGGATCACAAAATATATAAAGGGAGGAGAAGGGGAGACCATATAGATTTTGAGAACAATGTAAAAAATAATTTTATCTCACAGGGAAAAATCATATGTTCACTACCAGAAAGAAGCATATATTTCAGTGGGAAATTTTCTAAGACATATTCAGAAAGATAAAGGATATATCTTAAAACAGGGTACTCCATGGAACTAGTTCCACAGAACATTATTAAGAATACTGAAGCTGGGTGTCATGGCTCACACCTGTAACCCCAGCTACACAGAAGGCAGAAGTAGAAGGATTATGGTCCAAGACCAGTGTTGGGGAAAAACAGCATAAGACCCAATGTGAAAAAAATTACAATGTACATTGAGACAGTTCATGGATACTTTACAATCTAATTTCAGTATAGTATTCTTCTCTGTGTATATGTGTAGGCCATCTCTCAGGGTTTGTATTCCTGACTTTCAACACATTTGTATAACTGCCTTGTTTAAAAACAATTTTTTTAAAGATAGGGATTAAATTGAATTCATAAGGACTCTTTTTTTTTTTTAAGTAAATTGCAAAATGTGGCTTCAATATTAACTCTAGAAGCTTCTCTGGTACAATATTTTATTTTTACCCAAACTGTATGACTTTATATAAAACTATCTTATTCTGTTTGCATCAGTTCCCTAACCTTTCATCTGAAAAGGCTAGAGAATGGTCAATAAAGTTCTCTTCTGGTCAAAATTTGGAAGGATTGTTTTTTTGCTCAAAAATACATGCAAATCTTGATGTGTCCTAAGATGGAGCCTACCTAATAATCCAGTAAGGACTATAACTTAAGTGTTATTATGGCTGGCACCACATTGTAGACTAAACTGCAACTCCTAAAAGACAAGACTCACAGTTCTGAAAACTGTGCATGTGAGATTTTTCGAAATATGGTTTATTGCAGATATAATCAAAGTAAGATGATGTACTAAATTAGTGTGGACTTTGTGGGACCAGTGTCCATATAAGAAAAGAAAAACTGAGACACAACAATGAAACCTGTTGAAATTTCTCTAAGAACATGGGATTGAGGGAGACATAAAGGTGAAAGAAGTAGGGATGAACGTAAGTGTCACAATGTACCCCCTGTAAAACTATAATATGCTAACAAAAAAATTTTAAAAAAGATATCATGAATGACATATCTTTTTTTTCTTTCTTTGATTATTTTGAAATATCTTTTTCTTTAATGAATTGTCATTTATACCTTAGGTTACAGAAAGCATGTCTCAAAAACTGATGATACATCTGTGCATGAACACAGTATAACAAAATAAAAGGTAAACTGTTAAATAATATGGGAGCAGGGTGATAGAGAAAAAGAAAGTAACAGAGAGGCATTAGAGCACAATATGTACATGTCTGAAATACCAAAGCAACTGGCATTTGATATTGTTCAAATCAATATACACTTAAAAATTAAGAACAGAGATAGGCACCCATGACTAACACCTATAATCCTAGCTATTCAGAAGGCAGCGATTAGGAGAATCTCAGTTCAAAGCGAACCCAGGCAAATAGTTTGAGACGCTTTCTGGAAAACACTAAACACATAAAAAAGTGGGCAAGAGTACCTCAAGTGGTAAAGTGCCTGCCTAGCAAGCATAAGACCCTGAGTTCAATCCCCAGTACACCAAAAATAAATACAAGAAAAGAGGTTCTGTCCAGGATACCAGTGGGAGGAAAGTAAATGAAGAGAGTGAAGAAGGGAGAATATTGTGGATATATTTTGTATTAATGCATGAAAACAGAACAATGAAACTTGTTGAAATTATTCTAAGAAGTGGGAGGAGAATGAAGGAGGATGAAAGGATGAGTCTAATTAACATATATTGTGCACACATATGCAAATGTCACAATGTATCCTCCCTGTATAAGCATTATATGCTAATAAATGAAAAAAAGAAAAAAATCTTGTAAGTATATTAGAATAAATCATTTATCACATAGATGTTTATGTTTTAAACTTTTGTTACTGGTTAATAAAATGTTTCCCCTTTTATAAATACATTACAAAGTTATAAAGTATTTCTTTCCATTTATAAAAGCAAAACATAAAAAATACAATAAAGGATCAAATAAAAAGCAAAACCAGACTCCTGAAATAATTCTCATATATGTAGCTATACACAAAACTTAATATTAAAGTCTATAGCTTTTAGAAAAGCCATACATTCCATGCACAGAAACTGAACGCACTGTTTTGATCCAATCAATATTAACAAACGATCTCTAAGTCTTTAGTCGTATCTCACTTTCACATTACCTGATAGCTGTCACTGACAAACACACTCAGGGGTGACAGGACAAGTTGCAGCATGGTCTCCCCGAATCCTTTTTTCATTTCAAAACATACTCTTTCCAAGAAAGCTGTAGGGCACTCAGGACCATCAGCAGTTCCATGCTACAGTCAAACAAAATACCACAATCAAAATATAGAAAAAGCTATTAGTGAGAAATTATAGGAAAATAAAAATTATTAGCATAATTAAGAGAAACTGATTTTTCAAGGTAAGCAAGAATGCATGCTGACAAAAACAATTATTCTGTACCCCAGTAAGGACACTAAGCACAAAAGGTGACCTCTGCTATGCAATGCTGATTCACCATATGCAGCATATTGCTCTAAGACCACCTCCTCCCTAATTGGCCCTGCTCCAAATTCCCTGGGTTTGGGGAACATTATTCAGTCCAGGTCAACAGACCCCAGGGCTCAGAGTGAACCAGAACACCATGCTGTATCCAAATGTGTGACACAGTTCAACCTACAATAATTGGTCCACTATCAGGCCCTCAAACTGGTCTGGGTCTCAGGATAAAAGTTAAGAAAATATAAAGTCCTAGGATATCCATCAGATTAGCTGTAAACATTAACAACTCAATACTATGTCAAAATGTCCTAAAGTTACACAGAATAGGAAAGAAGGCACTAAAATGAAAGAAGAAAACAAAAAGTAAAATCACCAATGATCAGGTTACCGGATAATGAAGAAAACAAGCCAGCTTTCTAAGAGTGAAAGGATAAATCCACAAGTTTTTGAATCTGACTCTTCTTTCTTATATAAGTACACTTGAGCATACCTATACAGTTGCCTGTGCTAGACAGGTGCCATAATACTTGAGACCACATTGATATGCAAAAAACTTACAACGGGAAGACGTCCATGAACTTTGTACAAATTAACAAGTACAGTAATATCCCAAGGACGCAAGGCAAGTGGATGAACTGACTTCGCTGAACTTTCATTTTCCTTTTTGTCATTTTCCATTCCAACAGCAGTCCAACCAGAACTGGATGATGTTGACAGTGACAGAACGGGGCTTGAAATAACCTCTTCAAAATCCATATACATGTCATCTTCCCCAAAGTAGTTTTCCTATAAATATTTTTAAAAGCTGCCATTAAAGACATGAAATAAAATTTTACCTATGAGCCCTAAATTTGTAACCTATACATCTCCCTAAACTCCTTTATTTAATTAAAAGCATCAGGTTTATTTCTGTAATATGAAAAACTACATATGTACCTTAGTAAATAAATACTCAATAGCAAAAACTGCAGAATATTATACAAGTTTAATGAGCTATTAAAAACTTGTAAATTAGATCCTCAAAAAGACCTATGACAGCTCAAATGGTTCAACAGTCTTTAATCTTTGCTTCTCAGAGTTCTGAGGCATGAATGTCCTCTAAGGAAACCTGATCATTTAAAATAAATTTACCTAAAAGCGATTAGTTAAAAATTGTAATTTACATATTCCAGTTGGAATATTTACCACAAATGTTTCAACTGCTTTAATAAGAATATCCAATTTCAGTTACCAATGAATTAAAGCATGTGTTATCAACAGTTACCAATTTTTTCACATTTATCACACAAAAATATTTTAACTATTAATATTGTGATTTACTTTGCATCAGAAATTAAAATGAAAGTTTCAATTTAAGGAACAAATTTAATTTTGATTGAAATTCCTTTTTCTTTATGTTGATTGTGTCAGTAGTAAGGAATTCCTATTACAATGTTAACTATATTATCAAACCTGACAACAAAGTCAGTGTTTTGGTAAATTCTACAGCTTAGTCATTGACAAATTTATTTTCTGATTAGGTTATGGGCATCAGGCCATAATATGTTTTCCTAGGAAAGGACAGTGAGAGACTTAAAATCATACAATTAGCGGGAAAAATCCCAAATCTATTGACTCATAAAACCAGTACTCTTCCCTTATTGATGAAGCTCTCTAAGTAAGAAAAGATGCAGCTTGAAAGCTGCTTGAAATCTCGATAACTGTCCTTCTAATCCAGAAGCATGGACAGATTTAAGCACAAACATAAAGACGAACAAACATTGGATTATATCTTAAATTCCAACAGCAAAATTTCCAAACTGAATACAAATGTCTAATTTTTTTGTTAATCGAACTTTTTCAAAAGAATTCAGAGCAGTTTTCACTTCAGATCTAAGTTCAATTTTCAGATTTAAGATTTCAATTTAGATCTAAATTTTCACTTTCATCATCTGGGAACTGTTCCAAAATACAATGCTATCCCAGTCCTGGAGACGGGTTCAGCAGGTGCACAGAAGGCACAGAGGCCAGAGACAGGTACTAAGTGGAAAACATCCTTTTGTCACTTTAATCTGCAATAATCCCAGCCCCACTTCCCCTTTAAACAACCAGTCTAAGGGGTCAATGTACATTGCTTATGTTTACTAGCTTAGAATGTTTACCAACAAAACAATTATCAGTTCTTATTTTAACTAATCCTTAATGATCTTAGTTTACAAATCTCTTACTAATAAAAATTCCCTTGGAAGTCATAATATATTTAACTTTAAAAAATATAGATTCCTATAGATTGTTATAATGGAAAGAAAGATTATTCAATTTGCTACTATACCAATTTCTACTTATCTGACAGAAATAACACATATTAAAATCTTTAGAGAATACTAAATGCCCAATGTAGTAGAGGAAATTTACTAATTTTTATTAACTGTATCACGACTATGTTCTTAAAGAATTAGAAAACACTAAGAACCTTTCTTTTTTTTCATTGTTTTTGGACAGGATCTCACAACATAGCTCAGGGTTGTTTGGAATAATTGATCCTCCTGCTTCATGCTCCTGAGTATTGCGATTATAGGCGTGCATCACCATGCCCAACTTAACAGCCTTTTATGAGTTAACAGATTTGTACCAACCGAACATTGTACTTTTAAAATTCTAACACCCTTTAAAAGCAAGCCTAATATTACATGTTTAATGCTGGGTGCTTAAGTTTTCTTTCTCTCTTTTTTTTAATATGTAACTTTCATCTGTAAAGAGTTAATTTCTTAAGGATTCAATTTAAAAAATTATCACAATGTTAACCCAAGTATAAGGTAAGTGGTAAAATATTACATGGTATTTTAGGACTAATATATATACACAAACATTTAAACACAGTTATAACACTTTCATTTGATTTTATGACAAGTAGGCTACAAAATTAAACAATCTTTGAAATAAATTGCAAACACCCCAAGAAAAAAAGTATTGGCTGATAGAACCAGGAAAATGTGTTCTTTTGACAAGTTGTTAGCATGTATGAATTTAAAAATGATAAGTTATATTTATATAACTTATATTTATATTTATATTTATGCCTGGGGAAAACCCCAGGCATAGGGGTGCATTTCTATACTCTCAGTACTTGGGAGGCTGAGGATTGGCAGTTGGAGGCCAATCTGGGCTATTCAGTAGGACACTATCTCAAAACAAAACAAAGAGTTCTCTCAAATAATATTTTCCTAAAGATATTTTGTTTTATGAGTACCAAATAACAGGAGACCGCCACGTATTTCCAAGCTAACAATTTCTATTTATTGAATTATACTCATTTCTGAAAAAAAAAAATTTCAATAATAGTTTAAAAGGTGATGCTAATAAAACAGAGAAGCAAGGAAAACTCGTATATACAAGTACTGGTTTCCAAAACTACACTAAACAGTACAGAACTAGTAAGCTTCTGTTAAATTCTATTAAAAGTATTTTTAACAAGGGAAATATATGTGCCACACATCCCCTTAATCCACAGTTAGCATTTGCTATTACCAACATGCTATCACTATGAAGTCTAAGATTTCCTTCTCCCATAAACAAAAAGTACAATGACACTAAAAGAAGTCAATCCAGAAAGGTAATGTTAGTGGTAGTGTTATCCAACCTATATCTGCAGAAATGACATGAAGTTTTAATATGACTGAAATGACTGTAGACTACTATTTAGTTATGTTGTCTACATCTGAGAAGAACTACCATTTCCATAAAAAGTCCTCATAAATTTTAAAGCATGGTATAAAGAAGTATATATTCTTCTTAGAATTCTTTGTAATGATGATGCCAGAGCCAGGTTTTGGGTCTTTTTTGGTTTTGGAGCCTTTTGGGAGATGTGTGTATGTTCTAGAAATCATTTTTTTCAGTACAATCAAGTATAGTGTAATTCTTTATAAACAGTTCTTTAATTTTGATAATTAAGGAACTACCACATCAATTTCATGAATTTTCACGTTTCCTTGATTTTTCTCATCTACATATGTGAATTTCATTACATATTTTATAAATGATATACATAATGCCTAACTTCCAAAAAAGTTTTAAACATAAGTTACACATTAAAACAAAAAAATTAGGAGAAAGACATTTAAGCTAGAATAGCAGTCCCATATCAGCATGGCACTATATGTACAAAAAGCAGGAACTTAAAGAAATACATATAAGGAAACATAGAGTGCATTGAGCTACACAAATTTTTCCCTGTCAAGTTTTAAATATACATTTAGTAAATGTCAAAACTCAAAATTTTACAGTTTGTTTTAATAGACATTCAATACAAATTCTAATTTGATGGTTGCAAAACTAGCATTTTCTTTATTGGAACACAAAATTTTGGTCAAAACACAGTAAACTATTAACAGAGGCCATGTCTTTGGAGTATTTGGAGTAGAATTTATAAAGAACCTTAAAATTGAAGCATATACTTCTTTCTCTGTATTTTTCTATTTTGGATTTCTTCGTTTTGTTCTTTAAAAAAAAAAAATGAGGTTCAAGGGAGGCAGAGACAGAAGGATTTCACTTCAAGGCCAGACCAGACAAAAAGTCAGCGAGACCTATCTCAAAAATAAGACCAGTGTGGTGGTGCATGCTTGTAATCCCAGCTACTTACGAGGCAAATGTAGGAGGATTGTGGTGCAAGGCAAGCCCAGGTAAAACCTTGAGACCCTATCTAAAAAAAAAAAAAAAGATTGGGTGCACAGCTCATGTGGCAGATTGCTCAAATAGCAAGTGTAAGGTCAAGTTCAAGCCCCAATACTGCACAAAACGGAAACTTCAGACCTGATATGGACATGGCAATGCAACAAACATCAACACTTCTTTAGTAGTATTCAAAAACTGATGTCATATCACTGTAACCACCATTAGCCTGCTGATTAAATCATTACTTAAAATATAATTCAACCTCTTTTAACAATAGCTAACTACATCTTGATCCTGTTACAGCTACTCACATGCAATCCCAGGAAAGGCAGATGTTGAAGGAAATACTTGAGGAACATTTTAGGTCAAACAATGGTCACACCTAGAAGAATGTATGTGTGTGTATTTTCCCACTGAACCTAAGAATTACTCTTTTAGGAATCCCTTTATAAAGTGCAAAGGGAAAGACCAACAACAGGAGAGGCAGACAGAGAAACATGGTGGTTCAAACCCAGCACTGGCAAAACATTAGTGAGAGCCTATCTCTAACAAGCCAGACATGGTGATTCACACCTGTAATCCCGGCTACTAGAGAGATGGTAGCTAGCTGTGCAAAAGCTGGATCCTATCTGAAATACAAACTGAAAGCAAAAAGATTGGGGTTGTGAATCAGGTGGTAGAGTACTAGTGTACCAAGCATGAGACCTTGCATTAAATCTCTAGCACTACCAAAAATAAGTAAAATAATAACAAAATAAAATGTAAATAAAATCAAATGCTAGGGAAAGAAAAGGTAACCAACAGAAATTCTAAGTTCCCACAAATATTAATCACATACATTTTCCCTTGCATCTTTATCTTAAGCTATGTTATCTCACATTTTATAACAGTTTTAGTAAGCATAAAAGAGTAACTTGAATATTGAAATTTTATATACCTTCAAAACCCAATTTAGCCAGCACTTCCTCCAGAAAGTCTTCACTAACAAGCCCTGATCTTCTCTCCCCAACCAACCTTTATCATCGTAGTCCACAATAAGTTACTCTTTCTTATTACTGTACATTATATAATTCTCTGTTAACTAAGTACTTATTATCTCTGCAGTTATGAAATTGCAAAAGGAAGCAAATAAGTCAGCACTATAAAATTAGACCTGCACAAAAATCCCTGCAGTAGAGATCTACTGTTCATGATGAGAGATAATCTCTCTTTCATTCAGATATAGTTAACAACCAACAGTTCAATGAAAACCAAAGACAAAATAAATTTGCAAAGCCCTGGGAAAATGCAAAAATTTCATGAAGGTGGTCTGAAGTAATGCTGGAATACTACTGTGATCACAGGCAAAGCTATCAGTGATAAGCAGTATCTAAAAGTTTAGAAGGGAGTTACCAGAAATAGTAAAAAATTAGTAAGACTTAATAATAACTTACATAAGGCTTTTCTAAGGTTTATTTGAATATTAAAGAATAAAAGTTTTTTCTAGAAAAACTGAAGTCCTCGAATATTCTTCCAAATGTAATCTCTCTATGTAAGCACAATAGAGATATTAACCTTAAAGCGTTCTTATACTGTGCAATCACACAATTTCAGTAGAAAAACTACAGCAAAGGATCAATACTTGATTCACTCTCTGATCAGAAATGTACTGCACATTTATTCAGAACTGAAATTTGACAGGCATATTCTGATACAAGCCGATTTTCATGTATTTATTTCTATTTTTAAAATAAAGCTCCAAATAAATCTTAGCTCATTATTTATAACGAAATGTTTTTAATGGATGTACTGGAAATACACTTTTCCTGGTTCCAATTATTCCCAGGTAACAAAAAGTACTTCTAGTTGTACAGTATATATGAAGTGTTAAAATTTGTTCATGTATTTTGTTTACTTATCCCTCTAGCTAACAGATACTTATCATCTTGATCTCTAGCAACTAGTAACTTCCTAAAACATAGTTAAAAAACAAATTTTTTAAAAAGCTAAACTGATGAGCTCTATTTTTACTATGTAATTTTGTAACTGATTAGCATTTCAAGTCCTGTCAACATATAAAATACATGCTCAACAATTTAAAATATCCAATTGGCTATTTCAAAAGGCCTCAATTATCAATTGCATTTTGAACTACTTTGCCAACATTTAAAAACAGATTTTCTTTTAAAAACCATACCTTTATACATAAAAATGCATTTAACAGAGGTCCATAGAGAGTTATCTGAGAGTCTGGGGAAAGTTCCATTTCTACATGAAGTTTATCAGGTGGAAGTTCTGAGGGATCAACAGGAGGACGTGAAGAAGTACAGGGAGAAGAAACAACTCTGTCTGATGTTTTCTGGCCTGGCCTTAATACAGATAGCATTGTTTCTTCCATTTCTGACACTGTAATAAATTGAGGGGGAAGATTAATATCTGAGGGAAGTAGAAAATGATCTCCTAAAAGTCCTTCAAGGAAGTAAGAAATTTTACTTTGCAAGTATAAAATCAAATAATCTTGATATAACTATACTGTATAATGAAAACAGACCCAAAAAACCAATAACTAAGAAAGGAAATAAGGAACAACTTCACTGAATATGGAGTTAAATGCATAAATCAAACTGCACAGGAAAATGAAAAGTTCTTGTTAACATGAGCAACATTCTTAATTAAGTCCCTAAAATATATACTTGGATAATAAACAGGCCTTAGCTATATTTGGGCATAAAACTAGAAAGTTGTTTTCACAAAAATACCTATTCAAATGCACTGTGACCTTATTAAGCACTATACATATGAAGAATTTTGAAAACTATTCTTTGAAACTTAACACATAAGACAAAAACACATACACATAGAAAAAAATCAACTGACTCTGATTTTTTTTTTTTTTGGACAAAGGAATAAGGCAAATTACGTTCACAAAACTATAAATTAAATGATAGCTGTCAAAATGTAAGAAACTAGTATTTCACAAAATCAAGCATCTTAAATATGCAGATTAATAAATGCTTTTCCACCTCTGCTACTTCAAGTTTGCCAAACCTTGAGAAAAGTACTTATACCTTTGCTGAGCATATGTCTTCAAGTCCAAAATTTCAAAAATTACAGTAGCTACCTCATACAGTTGTTAATAAAAGGTAGCTATAATTATTCCAGAATATTTAAAAGATTATATATTTTAGAAGAATAAATGAATTTCTAATTGTCTTATGTGTTTTTGGAATCTGATGAATATCAAATAGCAGCTGTTTCATTAAAAAAAAAAAACTCTTACATGATTGTTTTAGCTGTTCATCTGCTTTTTGTGGATAAATTGGATGCCATGCATAATCAATTGTAAGCATGACGCTTGGGACAGTCCAGCATTCAACCCATCCAGCCCTTTGAAGAGTAAAAAAAACAGTATCTGGTCAGATATTCATTTCCTTCATTACATGTAAAAACTAATTACAGATAACTAAATATTATTATTATTTGAAAGAAGACACTTCTCTACCTATAAGCACAAAGTACTTAGGTCATTAATTTAATGTGCTCACTTTTCCTGAGTAATGTTGCGCCATCTGGGCTTAACTGTTTTCTGGCCACTCTGACACTCAGCAGGAATAGCAGCATCATGAATCATCTTATTTGTATGGCAATTCTTTACCAACATAAATAATGAATATTTACTAGGGTGACAATCTGGTAGAAACAAATGAAGATCCACATCTTCCCCCTAAAAAATAATTTAGAATAACCCAGATAATAAAGTTAGTACATAAATATGTCAGACACTATTTACAGATAATCTATACAAAGTGTAACAACAATGAAAATATATTCAACATAAATAAAGTTTAAATGGTATATTTTAAACTGAACAGTCAGGTAAACACTTGGAATAAGATTTTACATTGACAAAAATTAAATTGTAAATGCAAAATAAAGAAAAAGCATTAGAAAAAGAAATGACATAGTTCCTCAAAAACAGTGAAAATATTGTCTTCGATCCATGGATAACATTGATATCTTACGTGAAACTCATTTTAAAATTTAAAAAAATAAAAATAAACTTAAAAATAGAAAGAAAAAAAAAAAAAGCCAGGTGCAGGGGCTCACACTGTAATCATACCAACTTGAGAGGATCATGGTTGGAGACCATCCCAGACAAAAATTTCACAAGAACCCATCTGAAGCAATAAAAAGCTGGATACAGTGGTACCCACCTGTTATCCACCTATGCAGGAAGTGTAAATAGGATGACAGCAGTACAGGTTTCCCATGGCAAAAATGTGAACCCCATTCAAAAAATAATGAAACAAAAGGGCTGGGCTTTGGTTCAAGTGGTAGGGGGGGAAAAATGTGGCACGTCTGTAACCCCAGATACTCAGGAGGTACATGAGGCCCTATGTTCACTTTCCTATAATACAAAAAACAAACAACAACCAGAACAAAACAAAAATAAAATGAAAAAAACACTCTACTCTCCAATATAAGCTCAGGTGAAATATGTTCTGTATTTTTTTTTCATTTCTAAAGTATCTTTTTTTGACTTTTAATAATTCTAAGTTTGTATATGAGAGAATCTTCATTGTGTTTCACTTTTTTCTTATAGATCCTCTACTACTTGTGCATTTTGATGCCTATTGTCTTAACAAACAGCATAAAAGAGTGGCTAAAAGAAAACAGATCCCTAAG